TATTAGTGAGTATTTGGAAATGATTAAGCTACAGAAAAAGTGTTTGACTGAGAGACATGCTGGAGTAAAGGAATATTACCAAACAAAATAGAAAAATACTAGAGGTCTTTATGTAAAAGATATGTATTGAAATTTCTGTTTGAAAAATTGTCAGTAATTATTTCTGTACATTTTTGAGAGATGTATGGATTTATACCATGTTGAATGTTGGTAACTTCTGCTATTTAGAGAGTGCTGTAAATGTAGTTTGCTTCATCAATATGTAATTAACTGAGTTTCTGTGATTTGTAATTGCAGACGTTATCCAGCGCTAATTTTGCAGAGTAGCTGTGGAAACAGAACTGCGAAGGTCAGATATCAGGAAAGATAAATTTTAGCCTCATAGAATTAGTTTAGAAGAAAGGCTTATATATGAAAGAAAATTAATTACATGGAACTGGAGCCTTATTGACTGCCTCATCACTATGCAGCCGTCAACTCTCGTAGATCTGTAAGTTTGTTTAAACACTACTTTTAATTGATTTTTTAAAAATTGTTTTCTTCATATTTGGGAAGTTATCATCTTATATGATAATTTTAAATTCCATTTATAATAATGCCATGGTTACAAATTTTGAACATTATAGATTTTAACATTACTTTTGACATCGTTACTGACTTTGGACATGTCATTGTTTTTTTATGGTTTCAGATGACTTTGTTTTGACACACACACACACACACACACACACACACACACACACACACACACACACACACACACACACACACACACACACACACACACACACACACACACACACACACACACACACACACACACACACACACACACACACACACACACACACACACACCACACACACACACACACACACACACACACACACACACACCACACACACACACACACACACACACACACACACACACACACACACACACACACACACACACACACACACACACACACATTTGAAATATATTGTACATCAGTTACTAGTTATTGCCTTACAATATTTTTTAAAACAAATTTACAGATGTCTAGATGTTACATGCTCAATCCCAGCAGAATATTATATAAGGCTGCCACTGCCCCTAAAGGACAGACTTCTCACAAAGTTCACAAAGAGAGGAAGTTGCACCGACACCATTCTTTCCTCTCTTCTCCACTCTCACCTTACAAGTTTAGGTAAGTGTGAGTTTGATATCCAAAATTTATCTTTGAACAAAATACTTATTGCAATTGTGCTAAGAAAAGTTGACGTTGTATTAGCCTGTATTTTATAACATTGGTTTTCATTAAATTTGTATTGATTCCAGTATGTTGTACCGTGTATGTAACCTAAATTTAAAAAGCAGAATATATTAATCAAGGATGCAGAGTGAACTGATTTTCATTTTCAGACTTAAGGGACTGCCAGATTTCAGGCAAAGGGTTAGCATGTTTGGATGTTGCCAAGCATCTCCAGGTATTGCATTTGCCACAACCACCAATAGTCAGTGATAACCACTTCTCAGAGTACTGTGAGTGATTTTGCAATTGCTAAAAGAAACTAGCACACTCTTTATACAATTTCTTATAGGCAGAATACTGCAAGGAAATATGATGCTTATATATTACCTTTTTAAGGCAGTTGAGAGAAAGATTAAGTCATGATATCTTTTTGTAATGGAAGGCATAAAAGCTCATCAAGATTTTTGACCCTCCTCTCCCCATTATTTCAGCACTCATCAGACTCGGTGAAGGCAAGACCAGGCTGAGAATCATCACCCTCAACGGCCTCTCAGGAGTCACGGACCGTGTGGTTGGCTCGTTAGTTGGGGGTTGTCCGTTCCTCCAAGAACTCCACATTCCTAATACCACCATCACCAACCATGCTCTCACTGCAATTGCCACCTTGACACACCTTGTCTGTCTCAACATCGCTAGAACACAGGTGCTGTTGGGTTTGTTCAGAAAGAGTTTTGAAAATTTTTAGATATCCAAAATTTTCACTGGGAAAAGTTGAGAGTGGCAAGTAAAAGTTAAAAAAGGTTTTACTTCATATGAATTAGAGATATCATAATTTAAAAAGATATATTGATATATTAGGTGTTTTTTGCATTCCATGATATGTTGAATTTGATAGCCTGTTTAAACTATAATCCTCCATTTTGCAGTAGAGGAAAAATGTGAATAGATAATGGGGAAAGGAATGATATACAAAATAACCGTGAATAAAAGAGAATGCAATAGACCTAGAAGAGAAGAGAGAGGATGTGAAGAAATATATTTGATCTTTGAAAGAATGAGAAAAAAAGGGACAAAAGTCAAGAGAACTGGAAGAGAAAAAAAGGAGGGGAAATAAAATAAATAAGAAAGGGGAGATGTGAGGAAAAGAAGGGCAGAGAAGAAGAAGGAGAGAAGGAAATGGATTGGAGGAGGGAACAAAGAAAGAGTGGGAGTAGGAATAGGAATTGAACTAATAGTGAAAATGAGAGTTAAGGTAAGACTAAGAGTTGTAGTGGGAGAGGGGGTGGGAGTGAGAGTGAGTGAGAGTGGGTGTGAGATTGAGAGTGGGAGTGAGAATGAGAGGGAGTGAAAGCGAGAGTGGGAGTGAGATGAAAGAGAGTGGGAGTGTGAATGAGAGTGAGAGTAGGGGTGAGATATAGAGTAAGAATGACAGTGATAGTGGGGGTGGGTGAGTGAGGGAGGGAGGGGGGAGGGAGGGAGAAAGCTATGGCAAGGGAAAAGACGAGGATGAGGATGAGGCCTTGGGTGTGGGCAAGTGCAAGGACAAGGGCGAAGACAGGGATGGGGATGAGGGCAAGGTTGAGAGGGGGGAGAGAGAGAGAGAGAGTGGAAGGAAGAGAGGGAGAGGGAAAGAGAAAGGGAGAGGGAAGGAGAATAGAGAGAGAGGAAAGGGAGATAATATACACCATACATATCATATTCACTTTCAATAACCTTTTTAACAATCTCAACAGGTGACAGACATAGGGATTCAGCACCTTGTAGGAGGAGGAGTGCGGCACAGTCTACAGGAGCTTCGGGTCGACGGATGTGCTCGGCTCACAGATGACAGCATTGAGACTCTCTGCCTTTGTTGCTCTCGTTTAAATATCCTTTGTTTCCACCACTGTCCTAGAGTGTCAGGTAATAGAAGTTAATTGGATTATTATGTGTGTGTGTGTGTGTGTGTGTGTGTGTGTGTGTGTGTGTGTGTGTGTGTGTGTGTGTGTGTGTGTGTGTGTGTGTGTGTGTGTGTGTGTGTTGTGTGTGTGTGTTTTGTTTGTATCTGTTCTAAACTACAATATTACATAATTAATTTACTGAAAAGGGTAATTATCCACATCCCACACAGAACGATCCAGAGAATTACTCGGAGAACTCATGGCCTGTAAGATGAAGCAGATCACATGGACCGTGTACTAAGCATCCACCGCCACTAGCTGTCACGCACCACACACACCACAAGAAATAAACAACTGAAAAATCAAGGTTGTATTATTCAATGAGATTACATGGGCTTGCACTGTAAGCAGCTGCTGTTTATTGACTACAGAAAGAACATGAAATTCATCATCATGAATAGATTCATTTTCATGATATTTATGTAAGTTGCTCATGTTATTGTATGCTAATGTATTTCTCGGTTCTTGCAACTAGGGTGAGGCAAATATATATGTGTTGCACCTGCGTTAATGCTCAGATATTTACATTGATTTCATAATCAGAAATATAAAGACTAAGGGACTAATAGACAGATATGAATGACTATCAGTGTTCTGTGATTTTTCTAAAAGAGGATCTATAATAAAGACATATTTGTTTTACTGTCGTTCATTTGCATCCTGACTTTCTGGTTCATGAAACAAATGAAGATCAAATTAAATGTAATTGTCTTGAAAATAGGAGCTTGATTGATTTGATCTTTTAGATATTTCTTTATAATAATGATAAGAGTACAGAGACAGATAGCAGTACTTAGATGTTGAAATATATTGACTTGATTTGACTATGATGTGGAGTAATATATAATGTGTATTTAAAATTGTTTGCACATTGCAGTTATAACACCTCCACGAATCCTTTGGTCCAACATGCATGCTAGTCCGACAGTGATATGATTTGTTAATTAACATGCAGTATTATATCTTTGGTCAATTAAGTCAAATAACACTAAGCTAGACAAAAGTAATGTTTGTATGCTGCAATTTACCATTACTTTATATCATGTAGTTTGTATGATATAAACAGCCATAAACAAATTATATATTCAGACCTGAGGAGATGCTGAGTAATACTTGCTTCATAGCACATTTTTAATAAAATGTGATACTGTATTATGCATTATCAATATATAAGTTGTATTTCTGGAAATATAACACAAGCAAGAACACAGCGAGGACAGAAGTCATGTCTCGATGGAAGTGAATATCAGTGATAACGTCATAGCTGCAGATTACATACTCTTTGCTCACAATTTATGTGACTGAATATCTACTACAGAGGGCTGTATCCTGGGAGTGCGGCACATTATCAAAAGTTCGTCAGTGATAAAATACTTGTGCCTTTAATAAAATGCTAGTGTGATCTTGCCATTAATGACCAATATATTTAAAATATATATATAACAATTAAATACTTCTCTTACTTATTTCACTAGTGGTCATTTTGGAAATTTACTTCAATATCCTTTATTTTGAAGGCAATCTTTGGAAAACCCAATACAAGGCCATGCTGTATAAATTGGAAGGGAAAACAAAACATTTAACATAAACGTTTGAAAGATTTTATTGAAAAAATGTCCTTTTAGCATTTCAAGTTTAAATGCTTTCAAATGACATTATGAATATATAAAACATAATTTTTTCATATCCAAATCTATGTAACAAATTTTGAGATATTTCTTTTTTATTTTAAGAAATGTCAAATAGCATTGTGTATAAGCATATTCCTATATACATTTTATAAAATCATAAGTAAATGCTTGGTAATTTAAAGATATTTAGAGAAACTTACCAAATACACATATATATTTTTACAGAAAAAAATACATCTCCCACTTTAACTACAGAAACATTGGAGAAATATAATTTACATAATTTGATTTTTGGTAATATTTCTGCTGCAGATATGTTGATAAAATGGTATTCTTTATATTCAGCTATTTAATATTTAGGAAACCAATTTTTAAAAAATCATTAAAAATAGGGAGAGCAAGAGAGGGTTTATATTAAAAGTAGAGAGAGAGAGAGAGAGAGAGGAGAGAGAGAGGGAGGGAGAGGGAGAGGGAGAGGGAGAGGGAGAGGGAGAGGGAGAGGGAGAGGGAGAGGGAGAGGGAGAGGGAGAGGGAGAGGGAGAGGAGGGAGGGAGGGAGGGAGGGAGGGAGGGAGGGAGGAGGGAGGGAGGGAGGGAGAGAGAGAGAGAGAGAGAGAGAGAGAGAGAGAGAGAGAGAGAGAGAGAGAGAGAGAGAGAGAGAGAGGGAGAGGGAGAGAGGAGAGGGAGAGAGGAGAGGGAGAGGGAGAGAGGGGAGAGGGAGAGAGAGAGAGAGAGGGAGAGAGAGGGAGGAGAGAGAGTTTGATTGAAGTTGTATGTGAACATACCCAGATATCAGCACACACACTGATATTATTTAAAAAAAAGGAATTTTATTGTGAAAGGATAATGCTTGTATCTGTAAATTTTTGCTATTTTTAAAGACAAATAATAACAATGTAATGACATCATTATTTTGCATAATGGATGTATCATCAATCATACATAATAATAATGATGACAATATAATAACAATGATGACAATGGTTAAAAGTGGTAATCAATTATTTAATGTACTTATGATAGTGACAATACAATAATATGGTATAATTATAATAATAATATATAATAATAATAATAATAATAATCATAATAATAATAATAATAATAATAATAATATATAATAATAATAAGAATAATCAGCAATATAATAATAATAATAATAATAATGATGACAATAATAATAAAACAATTATGCACTTAACAAAAAGGTTAAAAGTGGTAATGACAATTATTAAGCATTCTTGTAACTGGATCCATTTAGGTAGTTATATAGATATGACGACTGAAAACTGTGAATATACAAATATGAAATATATGAAGATTTATAGATTCAGTTACATGAAATGCGCTGCAATATAATCAAGATTTCACAAAATCATACTTTCGTAATACTGTGGGCCTGTCTCATACTGAATGAACTTCATATAAAAAACATTTTATATATGAAAGGGAACACTCACCTGCCAAACAGTTATTTCATAATTAAATTCATACAGTTACACATATGGAGAAGATAAATACTACTATCTTAACAGTATTACTTGTGAATCATTATTATACAAAAGTAGCCAACTCCCATGAAGAACTGTATTCCCCCCTAAAAAAAGGTAGAATATAATGAACATACAAATAAATAATACATAAAAGGTAGATATGATCATATTGATTGATCAATCTTAAGGTAGAATATAATGAACATATAAATAAATAATACATGAAGATTGATCAATCAATATGATCAGATCAAATCTTATTCCCTAAAAATCTACAATTATTTCTAAACCCACTCGCGACAGATGACACTTGATCACATTGTGGTGAACCAAGCTGAATCCTATGATGACGGGACCTAATTCTTTTGTGACGTAATATTACGCAACAGTCTAGATTATGTGGCTAGGCCTAAGCTGTGTACAGCTGGCCCATCTGTTACGAGATGTATATATACGCCGTAAGCCATTATGTCATGATGGCTGTACACATACCCATCACTGAAAGGTTAAATGCATTACTGGTCTTGTTCTTTGTTATTCTAAATTGCTGTTCACTTGCTTAGGCCTAGTTGCAGTCATTGAGGAAATTCAGACTCTCATATGTTAGCTTAAGCCTTTCATATATTTTAGCCTTGTGGGAAATAGGGTAAACGTATGTTTCCTGCGCTTCTAATTTTTCACTCAAATGGCCTATTGCACACGATGCCCTGCATGTGGCTCGGTATAGTGTGGGGAATTCCCATCATAAATCAGTGTATAATAATAATAATAATAATAATAATAATAATAATAATTATATATATCTTGCCTTTGTGCCTTGTAAAATGTTTTAGTTGCTAAGAAGTAAAAATGCACAACCACACACACAATAAAAAGATCTAAACACTTAAGTACGCAATTCAAATGGTATTAAACAGACTCAAACAACTTCCTCAATATATATATATATAATTATATATATATATATATATATATATATATATATATATATATATATATATATATATATATATATATATATATATATATATATATATATATATATATATGTTGTGTGTGTGTGTGTGTGTGTGTGTGTGTGTGTGTGTGTGTGATAAAAGCCATTTTTAGTTGGCCTTATATTTGAGTTTTGGACATATTTCTTTCAGTTCAAAAATACTGTAAAATCTACTCAAAATTGCACTTGAAAACTGTAACAGTGCTCCAATCTCACAGACGTCAAGGGTAAGAGTGTTATGTATATCAAGTACTTTCGTCATGTGTCGACCTCAACCACAAGAGAGAAAAAAGAAGAAAAAATATACAGATAATAACAATAATAGCAATATCAGTAGTAGTAGTGGTAGTAGCAGTAGTAGTAATGGTGGTGGTAGTAGTAACAGTAGTAGTAGTAGTGGTTGTAGTAGTAGCAATAACAATAATTATAATAATCATAATAATAACAATGAATAACTGAACCATTTACAATTACAACGTATCATCATATTAATCCGTTGACACCAGTTTTTTGTTTTATTGATTTTATTTACTTACGGGGGTGACTTCAGAAGCACTCAGTCACCAATGCTTCAATTACTAGTCCTTCTTGACTTCATCTACTTACCCTCTTTTTTTTTATTACTATCATTATTGTTAATATCATAATCACAATAATAATAATAATAACAATAATAAATACAACAATAAAAATAAAATCAATAATAGTAATAGAAATATACTTCTTTTTAAATCAAAAGTCACAGAACTGGGTTAGCAGGTAAGATCAACATGGGCCTAGTAAATGAATCGGTGATTATGCACTTATGGTACCATTGGTGTGTAAACCAAATGAATATAACAAAAACCACCGTGGGCAGTGAAAGTACATGATGACAGTGGGTTTAAAAGAATGAGAGAATGCAAACAAGTTCATCTTTCAACACATAAACATTTTTTTTTTTTTTTTTTTTAACCGCTACATGATTTTATACTTTCATCAGTATTACATAAACAGCAGAATAAGTTTCCTTACGCAATCACATATACTTTTGTTCATTATAATACAAGTTATGTACAATTACCCAAGCTACAGAACCAATGAAATGATACCCAATTTTAACTCGAGCATAAAATTAATTCAAGTGCGATGTTAAAGTCTTGTTGCAGAATACTATAGTCTGAGGGAGAGTACAACAATCTTAAGAGATTTTAACAGTCACTTGTCTTGTTGATTATTTCTCATTCTGGATAAATATCTCTTTATATGCAGATATGCAGTGCACCCCATAATCATGTGGATATAATACTGCATTTGAAAAAGTCTATCTTTGTTCAGAAACAGCATAAATGGCAAAATTAATGTAATTACATGTATTACAGCATAACGTCTAGTTACTATTATCTGGTATTCCACAGCAGTTGCCATCTTCTCATTACATAAACCAAATCCATTCTAGTGTTATATTCTAGAAAAAAACACGTATGTTCAAAAATACGAAAATCTTGTTAAGTGCAATTAAAAAAGAATAAAAATCCATAGATCTGTTATCTCACAGCCACAATTTAGAGTAAGACACTTATGAAATTATTGTCAGACAACTTTCCTGGACTTTTATCAGTACAAAAGGCCATATGACAAACAGACAACTAACCTAACACCTGGGAAACGATAAACAAAGCCCACCATTGAATAATTTTTTTTTTCTAAAAACAAACGTCTGTCTTACTGTCCAACAATCATTAGTTTTAATACGCAAGAAATAAATATGTAAATAGATACTGTACATTAAAATAGAAAACCATTATGACCATAGTAAAGAAAATTTGAACATCTTTTTGTTTCTAATACAGGTACTAATTTTTTTGAAACATCTCAAAAAAAATCCAATTAACATCTTCTTAACTTCCTTCAGAAATTCCGATCAACTTTTGCATAATGTGTATGCATGCAGCTCAGTAGTTCCTATTGTAATATTCATTAACATTATTATAATGTCGGAATTATCTTTACACTTCAGATACAACAGCAATATGATTTTTAGATGCATGAAGAAATTCATGTAAATATAGTAGACATATTCACATATTGCTAATGCATAAAATGTGGTTGGGAAGGGAAGGAGCCTTTACAAAAATAAAATTGCATAAATAATAATGACCAGAAAGAGCATTCATTTAAGTCACTCACACACTTTTCATTGTTTTGATATCAATACAAAGCATATACATATATACAAACATATATTATGCTTACCCATACATAAAGATATAAGGTTCACTTAAGGTCTTCATATAATCTCACAAAGTCCTTTATCCTTGTTTTAAACATCTACTTAATCCGCTCATCCGTTACCCAGATTAACTTTGTGTCTAAATTATGCTTTCGTACAAGGCTGAGCAGTTCTTGGTATTCCTCCATGGTCGCAGCCCCCATGTGACATAGGCGTCCAATGCATCGTAGCGAGTTCTCTTGCATTAGTAACAACCGCACAGTGCCTAATGTGACGGTGGTTGAGACGTTGAACCAGACTTCCTGAAAATAAAAATTTTGGAGTACAGTAACCTGAATTTTTTTCATACTCTTTCTATCATGTGTAGCTAGGTTGTCAACTTATTAATGTTCATGCTTTGATGGAAAGATTGTCTTCACAAAATTCAATTCTATTTAGCAAATTCATACCTAACAAGCAAGTTTTAATTTCTAAATTCCTAGCACGAGTTCCTGTACTTAAACTCTCCTCTGTTTGTGCACTATTCTCATGGCATATACACTATACATGGCAGAAATCTCATCATGATGTATATAAAGATATAAAAGCTCAAATCTCATCACAGCTCTGAAGGGGGCAAAATAGGAAAGATGATCAAGAGCGAACAATCTTCAACATCGCCATGAGATAGCCCTCACAAGCAAACATCGCTAGAAAATTCAATATCCGACAACTCTCAAAAGCTGATGTTTAACCTCAAGATCTGGCAGTGGGTTGGTCTCCAGAATGGAGGTGAAGGTTGCGTCATGCAGCCATTCTAGCTCCCCATCTAGGTGTAGGGTGCGGAGGGCTGGTGTGTGGCTCAGCACAAATCTTAGGCGGCGGTTACTAATCACACCTGTCAGATTGAGGTGCTCAAGGTGCTGGTGGGCAGGAGCTGGAATGCCCATGTCTAACCGCTCATCACTGTCCTCTAGACTGTACCTGGCCTGTAATGCAAAGAAATGGTTTCACTCTATCCTGACATTAAAAAAAAAAAATAGGTCAGTTCATGAATCAATAATACAAGACAAAGGCAATATTTCTAACTTTGCAGCTTTTGTTGACTTGGAAATATTACCAACATGATAAGAAATCATAGGAAATTACCTTATAGTCACCAGAAAATGTCAAATTTACAAGATTTGGGCAGCAGCTGGCTACAACATTGTGTGCCTGCAAGACAAGAGATTATCAGATTACAATCCAATACAGCTAAGAATGAACAGCATAAAGCTTAAAGTGCCAAAGATAAGAAAGAAAATTCATACTTAGATAACTATGGCTACCTAAATAACTAAACAGACAAATGAGTATATAAATACATATATCACAAATACAAACATTATCCAGACAGTGCCTTCAGGTCCTACCTCAGCAACAAAGAACCAGTCGTCAGCCAAATGAAGATGTAGCACAGTCAGCTGACTTCCGCAGGCTTCCACCATGCGTCTCACCAAGTCCACTGAACACCTGTCATACAAGTTGGCTTGCAGTTTTTTCAGCTGAGGAGGACAAAATACAAATGTCTGTGAGAGTAATTAGAAACAATCTTTCAAAATCTGTATATTTTCTTACACTCTAGAAATATCTAACTAATGCCAGTGTAAATGATTTATCGTGTGAAAGGCCCTTTATATTATCATGTAAGATGTATCAATTGGTATTTGATATTTTTCATGTGTTAAATCATCATTCTGATTCATTACAATGTATAGTAATGTATAGTTATGTAAAACATCATACTGTGAAAACACTATGTCAAATGTATACTCCACATCTCAAATCCAAAATATGTCCTCAACATCTTTTTCAAAAAGACATCCATTCCTATTTCCTGTTTTGATTTAGAAACTCCTACAGAGATTTCTTGCCTTTTGAATAGTATTCCAGAATACAAAAAAGCTGATAAAAAAACACAGTAGCTGCTGAAACAAAAATTATGGACACCAAAGAGCATCTTTCTCATGATTGCATAATAAGCATGCATGTAGATTCCTAATGCAGTATATTAAGACTGAAACATTTTCATATCTGAATCATGCCTGGTCAAATAGCCAATCTAAATTTTCAAAATACTGATGCAAGGTAATATGAATACATAATGATCAATACGAATATATAAAATAATAAAACCAATAAATTTTGCTCCTTTCTCCTCAGAAGAAAATGTAAAATGTTTCCGTCAGAAAATCTTGAGATTAAATCATCAAAGCAATAAACTAGTGTTTGTTATTTTTTTCTTTTCTGCATATCAATCGATAAATCAATATACAAAAATGATATGGTAAATGCAGACATATCCAAAACTGCTATCAACTGACTCCCATAAAAGTGACCAAATAATTACAGGTACACCACCAACTTTCCTGTTCCTTTGGCCCTTACAATACGCTGGATTATCCATGCTATTTGTTTTCTAGACTGGCAGATAAATTCCACAGCTTTATCTATCATCTCTAGTAAGAACCGTATTCATGTTGACAAATGTAGGAAAGGTATGGATAAGAATGAAAATCTTCGCAATACAATAGCTCTAGTATATGTTGCATGAAGAACCAGTGGTGTACCTGTACAAGTGTCTAGACATATGTGATAACATCATACATATTAAGAGGTGTATACTTAAAGGCAGATAAAGCAGGAACTAGAAAATAAATTGAAGAAGAATCCAGATCTCTCTTCAGCCAAGAATGTTTGAATGAACCTCATTTTTCATTAATGCACTTTGTAAAATGTGTATTTACTTACTTCAACATCACCTAGAACTACTACAAAAAGGAAAGTAAAGATTGGAATGGATGAATAATGGAGGCCAAAAAAAAAAAAAAAAATATTTAGGATGATATGATTATAAACTTTACAAAAATATGCCTTAGTGAACCACATAGTGTCAGATGGATATTTTTACTTTAAATTGGCAAAAATTCATCAACATTTTAAAGACACCAAAATCTTCTAGCTGTTTCCTGTACTGTTTTTGACATTAGCGTAAAAGCTTCTTGCAAAATGAAAGATGTTTACATCTTTTTACGCCACAGAGTTCTAAATCCTGTATCTTTCCTGGATTGCCTAATTTGTCATAAAGACATGATTTCCAATGGCAAAACAAGCTCAAAACATTTTCAACCTTAAATGAGAGGAAGGGAGGGAGAGGGAGAAGGGGAAGAGGAGGAGGGGGGAGAAGGAGGAAGGGAGGAAGGGAGAGAGGAGGGAGGGAGGGAGAGGAGAGAGGGAGAGGGAGAGGGAGAGGAGAGAGGGAGAGGGAGAGAGGGAGAGGGAGAGAGAGAGAGAGAGAGAGAGAGAGAGAGAGAGAGAGAGAGAGAGAGAGAGAGAGAGAGAGAGAGAGAGAGAGAGAGAGAGAGAGAGAGAGAGAGAGAGAGAGAGAGAGAGAGAGAGAGAGAGAAATCCCAAAAATGAGACCATGAGTTATCTGGAAGAATCAAAATGGGAATTTCAAGTCTTATTTAACCCAGTAATTATCCCCAAACTGTCATTACAAATAACTTAATAATTTATCTAATATAGATTCATATATACATTTTTCTCAGGCTAAAGATAGCTGTACTAATATTAAGGTTACATTAAATTTCAATATAAAACTACCCTACTGTGTTCCTTTAAGTAGGATCTAAAAGCTCAGACAGGGAAGGAAATGGTATATGGATTAATACAAATATTTTTATTCTGATAATTATGTTCTGCTAATGAAAATAGAAGTTATCATTTAATCCCCCCAAAATAAAAGAGACTAGTTGGCCAATTCTGACTCCTTGTATGGTAGTTACCATACCTAAAAAGACCACAAAACATAAATAAATAAGAAAAATAAAAAATAGATCGAAAAGAAAAAAATTAAATTAACAATAAAGTAGGTCCAAGCTCGGTTACCTTTGGCTGTGTCGTGAGCATGGAAACGTCAGGCTCTTCTGTCATGTCTTGAAAAACAAAATCCAGCCGTATGTGCTCCAGGTGCGGGAAAAGAACCGAGGTGAGTAAGTCTTCTGTCTGGGGGTTAAAGAGCCAGAAGTTCTTGAGATTGAATCTTTCATCCCTCATGCTCAAGTCTGGCCGCACGAGCGTGGTTGCGTCACCGTGGATCAGCTGCTCCTTGATGCGGTCAAAGAGGTCTGCTCTGGATTCAAACAGGAGTGAGTCGGAGTTACAGTTGAAGGCACAGTGATGCAGCCACGAGAGATTCTTAATGGAATCCACAATTTTCCAGCAACCTTTTCCTGTAATCCGTGTCCCCGAGATGTCAAGCATCTTGAGACTTGAACACTTGGCTATTTCCTCGCACTGCTGGTCTGTTATCTTTTCCGAACCCTTTAAATTTAGTTCACACAGCAGAGGACATGATTCTGAGAGGCCGCTGATCATTTCTGGGGTGCAAATATACTGAATCCCTAACTCTGTTAATTGAGGCAAGTGTGTGAGTTTTGTGCACAAGTTTTCAAATATCTTTGACCGCCAATAACAGGATCGTCCAATCATTAACTTCCTGAGGTTTACAGCCTTGTGTAGGTTATCAAACAGAATCTGTAAATAATGAAAAACAATCAGCAATCAAGACAACTTTCTCTAACTCTATTACAATGCCATTAACCTAAAAAGTAGTTACTTCTGTAAATATGTATTTCATAAAGCTAACTCTTTTATGAGCAAATAAAAATTATGCATACATGACATGAAGCAAAATTTACTTTCTTATCAAACTACAAGATGTTTTCTCTCTCTATTAGACCTCTTTTTTAATATAATAATTTCTTTGTTAATTCTTTTAATAATTCTGTTTCTTAATTGCCACTAAACTATGATTTATATAGATACAGCCCTACAGGAAACCCCTGTTCACTTCACAAACTTCCCATCTCTCTCTCTTTCCCTAAATTCTCAGAACTGAATATCACATACACAAAACTTTAGCCACAAGAGACACACCTTACACATGTCCTGCTCGGAGAACATCTTTGTTCTGCCGAAGTCAAGTTCTCTCAAAGATGAATTGAGAAAGTGAGGTAGGATGTCTTGCACTGCCTTCCGTATCTTCTTTTGCCGCATGTACATCAGGTCTAGGCGTGTTATGATGTTCGAGAAGAGGAGTTCATGTAGCATTACATGTGAATGCGAAGTTAACTGCACACCCAACTCTTGTCTTAGAGTCTCTAGTTCTGTTGTAAAGGAGACAAATGCTAAGAATTAAACATACATGGAAGGAAAGTAAATATATCTTCCTAGTATGGTAAACTAGCTTTAGAAATTTGTTTTAAAATGCAATATCAATCAGAGTAAATTATATGACTTATGTTTTTTGGCGGTGAAATTCACCTTATTTAACTGCTGGTACAAGCAACAATAGTAAAAACTTTTTCATATCATTTATTACAATGGAAACTTGGTAACAAAATATGAATGCATATCATAATCACATTAAATGCAATAGCTTATAGATCAAAAGATTATCACTCTTAGC